CTCACCTGGGCCTGGCCCCGAGGAGCCATCCGTGACCCCTTGTGGGAGCTGCCAGGCTGGAGCCTCGCTGGGCACTCCCTGGGGCTGCTCTCCAGCCTGGCAGCGTGGCTGGACGGGAGCAGAACCAGTTTAACCATCCCAGGACCATGCCCCGGTCGTGTCCCCTCTCTCTGTCTGAGCAAAGCCCTGCCCTGGACCCAGCTTTGTCCCCCCTGACCTGAGCCCGCTCCCAGCTCCGGGTTTGCCCTCCTGGACAGCAATTTCCAGAACCTGGGAGGTTTTGCTGCCTCCTTCCCTTTCCTGGCAGCGCTGGGTGGGGCAGATGGGCTGAGCCCAGGGCTGGGAGCAGAGCCTGCTGCCGCCGCAGCTGCCCACTCCCAGGTGGAAAATGAGCATTTTTTTGGCTGCAGAGCCAAGATGGGTGGTCCTGGATGAGGAATCCACAGCTTTATCCCAGGGAGGGGTTCCCAGCTCCCTGCTGAGACCATTTATTTACCTGCTGGGCTCCGTTTGTCCTGCTGAACCCGAGCACCAGGAAGGTGACTTCAGCCAGGCTGGGAGGACGATGGATCCAATCTGTGGAGCGTGTTTAATCATCCCTTCCTAATGGTATTTGGGGATTTCCTATTTAATCAGTAATTAATGTGCCTGGCAATTCATTCTGCAGGACTCTCGGTGCCCCAGCACCGCAGGGTGGATTCTGAGCAGCCCCTTTCTGGCTTTGGGGGAGTTCTGAGCAGTGATGAATTGCAAGAGATAACAATTTCTTTCCTGATTCCTTCTAACGAGTATGAATTTTTATTTTCTTTTGGATCCAGGACATGTGCATTTCACTTTTTGGAGGACAAGGGGCAGGCAAAGGACAGAAAGGAAGAAAACTCTTGGATTAAAAAAAAGGAGAATTGGGAAAAGTTGCTACAAGTGGATTTTGCCTTGCATCTCTCAGCTGTGAGACTCTCACATCCTTGAGGCAGTTTGAAAGGAGAATTTTCTCTCCGGTTTCCCACCCTAAGCCCCTGTAAGGGGTGCAAGATGTGGCCTGTGCTGGCATTGAGGAGCTGGTCCCTGCTCTGAGCTTGCAAGAGCTGAGCTCGGCTGCTCCTGGACAGCTCCTCCAGAGGGATGTGAGCTCTCAGTTCAGCTCCAGGAGCCTTGAGCAGTGAGTGGGTGAGCAGGCACTGAGGAAAGGGCTTGTGGAAGAGCCACAAGTGCAGGAAAACACTGCAGAACTGGGCTGCTTTATCCAGGCTTTGCTAAAACCCTTCCCCTCGTCTCAGAGCACCTTGACCTGATCATTTGTGTTCGTGCCTGGTGACTCTGCACTAATGGGGGAGAGGGAAACTAAAATAGAGGGGGAAAAACATTAAAAATGCTTCACTTGAGCTGGAGATTCAGCCCTGCCTTGGCTTTCTGCCGGCTTCAAACACAGCAGCAGAACCTCTTGTGTTTAGCCCCAAAGGAGTCCCTAATTAGTGGAGAAACTGCAAAGCTCTGAACTTATTTGGGAACGCTTCAGTGCAGTGGCCCCCTGAGGTTCATTAAACAAATGAATTCAAAGCAGTCAGATCGCTGGGATCTTCAAAGCGACAAGGACCTCAGTCCCCACGAAGGCAGGCTGGCACTGCAAAGAAAACATTTCCTGGGGTGTGGAGCTGGCACGCACGGAGGGAGCAGAGAAGGGGAGCCAGGAGAGCACAGGAAGGGGCAGCAGCAGCTCCAGCCCTGCTGCACCCGCTGCCAGGGGCTCGGGGGACACGGAGCAGCCAGGTCAGTGCAGGGTGTGGGACAGGGATCTCCCAGGGCCACTGTGCAGCTGAGTGGGACACGGCTGAGGGGAGCAGGAG